CGATCCCAATACGAAGTTCGCGAACATCAGGGATATCCATCGGGCTCAAATCGAAGCGGGTGAAAAGGAGGTTATCACGGCTGAATCCAGCGACTCTGAATGCCCTAGTGAGGCTGGCAGCTGTATTGTAGTGGGTGTGGTTGAGGATCAATAGTTAATAGTAATGAGGAGGTTGGGTTGTGATCCCATCGTTTTTGTGGTGCCAGAAACAGGGGGGTGCCAGGAAGTGGGTATGTTGACTTATGCGACGGCGTATCTCATGTGAGTTCTTGGAGCCCTACATGAGGCACCAAGATTCTGAAGACCCAGTTACTGACTTCTCTTTGCCACTTCATAGAGGCATTGTCCCCAACAATTTGCTCTTGACTTATTTCAAGCCTCGAAACTTCTTCCCCTTTATGATCACAACCTGGGCAGGAATTACTATGCTAAATGCGGTGGCTAAGACTCCTCAGCACCTTATGGCTATCCGATTTTTCCAAGGATACTTTGAATCATGCATCTTCGCGGGAACCCAGTACATCCTGGGATCATGGTATACTAAGAAGGAGCTTGGCCAGCGCACAGGATTCTTCACCGCTAGTGGGCTAGCTGGTGGCATGTTTGGTGGCTTCCTCCAAAGTGGCATCCATTCGTCTATGAACGGGCTGCATGGGCTGCCAGGGTGGAAATGGCTGTTCATTGTGAGTTCAAGACTGATGTCTTTGCCTGTCTACCGAGACTTGCTGACTGCGCCCAGATTTCTGGCATTATCACGCTGCCCGTCGCTGTATACGGATACTTCTTCTTCCCCGACACACCTCATACGACCACGGCATTCTACCTTAGCCAAGAAGAAATCACTCTTGCAAGAGAACGAGTGCCGATCCACGAGGTTGATAAAACGGAGAGTATCCTCTCCAAGTCTTTCCTCTCTAGGGTAGTTCACTCATGGTATTTCTATGCCTTCTGTTTCCTGTGGATTCTAGGCAACTGCTCCGAATCGCAGTCCAACCAGTCGCTTCTCAACCTCTATATGCAAGCTCATCCAACAGAGAAGTACAACCTTTACCAACGCAACAACTATCCCACCGGTGTACAGGCCATGGGCGTGACGAGCACGCTGTTGTGGGCCACGTCAACAGATATCTGGGGTAGGCGATGGCTGTCGGGATACTACGTCTCCTTCACGGCCATTGCAAATGCCGCAATTATTCTCGCGCCAACTTCGACGGCAGCCAAGTTTGGGGCCTACTACTGGGCTGGCTCAATCTACTGCATCCAAGCCACTTTCTTTGCGTGGGCCAATGACTCGATGCGCAATGAATCACCGAGACTACGATCTTGCGTCATTGCATGCATGAACGCGGCTGGCAACTGCTTCCAAGCTTGGTGGCCACTCATTTTCTACAGAGCCGATGACGCTCCAGAGTTCAAGGTGTGTAGAAAGAGCCGTTCTTCGTCCAAGACCGGAGACTTGACCCTCGGGATCATACTGACAGTACGCTAGAAAGGAATGATTGCCATGATTACCGTAGGAACGACCATGGCGATTTGGGTCACCGTTCTTATCCTAGTCGAAAAGCGGCGAGCCAAGACGGAGCTTCAAGTCATCGAGGCTGTTGTGGAAGAGCAAAGTCTGGAGTCAGAAGGGCCCACGAAGCTTGACTCTGCTAAGTTGGATAACCAGGTTTCCGATGTTAAGTCGTCTTCACACTGAACAGATGTACTGGCCCCCAATATGATGCGCATTATGAGTTGTGACGTCTCGACATGGCACAGTTATTGCTGCATGAAGCGCGAATATCAAGCCGAACGATGCCAAAAGTATGTAGCCGAGGTATCACATTACTATTTATTACTCTCAAAAAAAACACTTTATCGGAACTTCTTCCAATTTCAAGCCTCAACGGTATTCTTGCTCACAACGCCCCTGGCAAATTCTCCGAATGTGATGTGCTGCTCCGAATCAACCTCCTCGCCAAGATTCGGCTGAGTAAACACCGCCAGAGTGTTTCTTGCAACCCGGCCATTACTCATAGAAGGTCTAACTCCTCTCACAAAGTGCGGCACAGCCTTGAACTTGCCCTTTGTGATCCGTTCGAGTGCCTCGCCCGTCTGGAAAGCAATGCAATCCCTGGGAATTTTCACCTGCACAGTGTCCCCTGTCCGAGACTTGATGTAAAGTCCAGCTAGAGGATCAGGGCTTCCTGCCATTTCCTCGAGCGCAGAGAGTCCTGTGACACCCTTCGCATGTGAGACTGAATCCGATGGGGTCTTGTGCTCATCGACGAACATTGCAGATGTCAAGGCTGTCAAAACCGAGTGATCGAGGTGCACGCCGCACCAGTCGTCCTCATTTTCACTTGAGCCCTCCTGGGATTGCGGGTAATAGTGCAGCAATCTGGCCTTAGTGGTGTTGCTCGTGCTGACAACGTGCTCGACGTAGCCCTTCGTGTACCCATCGATTTCCCGCTCCGCATATCGATCGCACGCACGTGCAACAAGGACAGCTGTGTCAATCAATAGCCTGCATAGGTCTTCCAAGCTGCGTTTGAAGCCTGGGAGAACCTTTTCTTCAGGCCAGATATTTGGTGACAGGTACTCTGGGAAGTTCTCGGCTGAGAAGTCAGGCGTTGGCTTCGCGGCATCTAATGTTGGATCGGTGTAGAAGGCGCAGTTGGCGTAAAAAGAGCCTTTGAATGTGTCTACTTGTCCGTCTTTGAGTTGTTCCTTTCCCAGCGACCAGCCTGTTAAATACTTGGCGGCGGGGTTCTCGACCTTGTCTGCATGCCAGTGTCAGTAACCGTATTCTCCAACTCAGCGGAAGGATTAACTAATTACCAAGCTCGGCTTTCGGCAAGTTTCCAAGATACGAGGCATATGAAAGTGCTTGACGTCTCAGCTCGGGAAACTCTGGTGGGACATTCTTAACAACCAGAATCCCTAGAGAATCCGGTCCAAAAGCCTCGACAAGTTTCTCGAAAGGCACGTTTCCTGTAGCTGATGTCAGCCATGGAGGTCGGACCAAAAGGAGAGTCCTTCTGACATACCATTTTGCAAGTCAGCCAGCGATACCACAACTGGCTGAGCGATTACTGGGGCACTCATTACGGAAGTTATGCGATTGCGAAAATTGATCGAAGATGGCAATATTTTGCAGCCGAAGAATTCAGGAGGGATGGAGAAGGGCGAGGCTGCCGAGGGGTGCCTCCGCGGACGGTATCCTGTCTTAAATGTATAGCTTCCTGGCCCCTATTGTGTAACACAATAGAATAAGTTGGAAGAACCTTTATGGTGTATCTAAGGTCTTGATCGTCTCATTGGGTAATTCTTACGAATCTCAGAGGGTTGGACCAGACTAAGTGGAGTGGAGGTGCTGGGACGTCTGTAGAACCACTTGCCACATTTGGCTTGTCAACCTTCCTGGGTCTCGCCCGATTGGCTGATATATACGAGGCTAGCCTATCAAATGAGAGCGTCCGACTTCAACTCTGGAGGAACCGAGCCTATTGGTTGTGACTGGCTGGTATTTACGATTCTCAAATACTTTCTACTTATACGGGCCGAGGTGCTATTGTCACAAATATTACTTTTCTTTTGTTCAGCATGAGGACTATGGTTGACTAGGTATTGGACACGTTTTTTCTTTCTCGTTAGGTCATCATAAAATCCAGAACGCTGTCCTATTTCATGAGTCTTCTACGACTACCGGTCCCAGCAAGTGGTCTTTCTCGCATCCGCTCGCCTTACAGATCTTTGATCGTACATTAGATGTCGGTCGCAACTTCGTCAGAACAGGCTTGCCATCTTGCCCCGGTGCTAGCCTCTGATAGACCTTATGGATCCTCTGCGTTTCTGGCACAGTCACATCCTTTAACCAAAACCATCTCGATTCCGGGGGAACGAATCCTTTCGCGTCACGACCAGTCTCCTCAAGCAGCAAGGCTCCCAAGATCCCGTCCATGTTTGACACCACATCCCAAGCGACCATCGACGGGGGTATCTCATGCAGTGCCTGCAATGCCGTCATGCGGATGTCGTGATTCCTGCAGGCGCGCACAACAGTGCACAGCGGTAAAATAAGGCCCTGCCCCAGCAAGACTGATGTTGGGCGGGGCTGTGACACACAGTCACGATATAATTCAACGCAGAGCATCGTCAGATCCCTGAATTCATTTTCGAATGCATCGTAGGCCACTTCGGTTGGGTCTAGGCAGCAAGTGAGTGTGATGTGGAGAAGGAGCCAGTGAATTTGAGCGATTCTCAGGCCCTTCTTGGTCGCAATATCTACTCTCGGACTCTCGGCATAGTATTGAATGACTGATCTCCATTGTTGTAGTTGTGAAAGGAAGTTTTGCTGGTGGATGGTGAGGTGGCGGAGCATGTCCATGGAAATGCCCTCTGCAGTGACATCGGTAGAGTTGCTGATGAAGCTGACGGCGAAAGTGAAGAACCTGCCCCACGAAATGAAGAATTTTGAGATTGGTTCGTGATGAGGATTATGGACATCAGAGCCAGGATCAATCTTGAAAGGGTGTGCATGATGGCGGCGAGGCTGAAGGGATTGTGAGAGCTGGCTCATGGCTGCTATGCACGGGAGCACATGCTCCATGTCGTTGAATTCGGAGTCACGATACTTCTCCTCACTATCGGGATCGCTTTCGAACATTGTGATCGAGTCCCTCAGTGCTCCTAGGCATGAGTTGAGGAGCATTTCAGCCGTCCTTGGCTCACCCTGGAGCAGCTCGTACACGACCAGTAGTAGAGTCGTGACCACTACTGTGGTTGGTGATGAAGCCGTAATTAACTCCATTCGTTCTCTTAGGGACTTGACTGCTTTGAGATGATGTCGTAACGCGACCTCACGATGTTCGGTTACAGCGTAGCCATCCGAGGCAGGTGGTAACGCTTTTCTTCTAGGCGTGCTTGGTCTCGCATCCTGAGGGGTGGAGCGAATAAGCGCACCGACAGCTAGGATCGAGTGGTGAATACAGTCATCTTGCAGACCTTCACCGACGACTAGATATGACCAGTTGGGACTAGTGTAGTAACCTGCCAGGTTGGTGGAAACCTGATGTCGAAAGTAATCGTAGTAAACGCCGTCCTTGTGATAGATCTTGGGTAGGCTCGAGAGCGATCTAGGAATCTGAGGCGACAAGATCATCTCGGTTTTGCTGCTGCCGTTGCCGCTGCAAACGTCGGCGGCCTCGGCTGAAGCGGACCGAGGGGCGATGAGCTGCGGCGTATTCCGGCGGACCACATTCTGGTTTGTCCGTTTCCTCCGGCGGTCGATGCGGTCCACGTAGCCCTCGCAGACGACTCCGACCTTCTCACAACGGAAACATGTGGGCTTGCGCTCGTCGCATTTTACATGGCGAGTCTTGCAGGTGGCACAGCCGGTACGCGCCTTCGGTCCACCCGCCCTGCGCCGTTTGGTCTCCTCCGTCGGCGAGGCCCGGTCGCTATTGCAGACGGACTCGGGCGACGGCGGTGCCTCGAGCGGCTTAGGGAGGATCCAGGGACCGATTTTGGAGGCCAGGTCTGGGCCGAGGAGATTCTCCATTGTTTTTCTCCCCTCTCTGTCTCTCTTGGGTGCGGCTTTTTGGTTTAGGATTGGCTGACCGGACGAGAAAGTGGTGCGATTCTTTGGCGCCCATATGAGTAAAAGAAAAGGAGTTCAAGGAGTTTAGAGATGGGCTGCTCAAGCCTTGAGCCGCTCGGGAAGATTGGCCCTGGCCTGGGGGATAAATGCAACGGTGAGTTGGGAAAATCACCGTCTCCACCATGCCCCCCGGATTGCGGGGTTCTCGCATTACAACGAATGCAACATTATTCGCGCGTTTTCTTATCAGAGTCTCGTGTGAATGGTCAGTTGACTGCTCGTAACTTGTTGACCAATCACAAAGTCCCGGTTTGTTCGGGGTCCTCTAGCTTAAACGCGAACTGATAAGTCGGGAAATGAGCCGAAAGAACCCCGGCTTGGCTTGGCTTTGTTGGGTGCGCACATGTTTGTTCCTGAAGAGCTTGTTGGAACGGGAAGACTGGAGGCTCAGATCAGATGTCGGCATTGCGATGAGGCTCTAAGATCTGCTCGATATGAGCTGAGATGATCAAGCTTTGTGCGCAGTTGTGTAGTAAAGTAGAGTTGAGGATCCTGGCGTTACTTGTAGATTGTCTCTGTTTTGAGTTACTATGGCGATGGTCATAGTATGAGCCCCATAAAGCCCACGGGCCATGGTTCATGACCAGGCAATAATTGGCTTGACAACGTCGCCGCGCTTCATCGCTTCTACAGCTGAAGCAAAATCGCCGTGTTCAAAGACTTTGATCAGTTTCTCAACAGGAAACTTCCCGTCTCTCCACCACTGAACCATCTGAGGGACGTACTCGGCAGTGTTGACGTGCCCCTGAACCGCTCCGAAATACTGCTTTCCGCTGACCATGAAGCTCTGCATGTGAAGCGACAGATGTGACTCTGGCATGCCAGTGCCAACCTGAATAATCTTGCCCATGTACCGCGTTCCTTGAACTTGAGCTTCGAGCAGTGGCGGAAATGCGCTGGTGTCGATGCATATGGTTGCTCCAAGCCCCTCGGCCGCCTCCTTGATCTTCTCCGTCACCTGCGCCATCTCGAGTCCAGTCGTGTTGATGATGTGCGTAGCACCTAGTGTCTTAGCCAGCTCGAGACGAGACTCGACTCGGTCGATCCCGATGATG